AGGAAGCGGATAAGCTCGGGCCCCAGAAGACAAGAGCTTTGCTACAGCTTGCACCGAGTCCAATTTTGAAGTTGCCGGGTGAGAGCCATGGTGTTCCTGTTCTCATCTTGGGACGTCTGACAAAGACCGTGCTTTTCTCCTGCATGGTGCGGAAGAGTCTTGCATAGCTGGAGGCAAGACAGATCTATGAGTCTACCATCCACTAGTGCAGTCAGGTTCGGGCGCGCACGCGCAATACACGCCTGGAGAACAACCTGACCTCTTTTGGCCCCGAGAATATGCTTGGACATGCTCAAGAGACTTGCATCCAAGATGCTGTTTGAGAGAAACTGGTAGAGGTTTTCACCCAATGACTTCAGAAAGGTCATGTAGCCTTCCTCCGCCACATTTTCAGCGAAAAAGGAACCTTGGAAGAGGTGCTGATGTGTCATCCGAAGCCATCTGCAGATAGATTCGCAAAATCCCGGAAAGACGCTCTTGCTGAAGAGACGGACAAGAATCAAAAGACTCCCAGTCCAGATATGCACAAGATTTAAGAGTGATTGGGCTTGTGGAAGCGGGACGGCCCTATGCAGAGATTCGTGGCCTAGGTCACTGCTTATCAGAAAGGTTGCGGCCCTTCCTAGAATCTTCTGCATGAATCGGTCTTCTCCATGGCTACATAGATCAGCTGTTTGTTATCTTTACCCTAAATTGGAAGCATGGTTGTGGAAGCTGTCTGTGAGGTCGCTGCACGATTGGGCTTCTTTTGCTAAAGGCGGTTCGGAACCCTATGATGGAAGCGCATGTATAACCAGTCAAAGAACTTGACCACATAGCAGTCAAAATCTGAGAAGATTCCCGTCCTTTAAAGGAAAACAGCTGAAAATCAGAGCTGAGCACGACATCTCAAAAAATCCTCTACAGCTTGCCTCTGTCGCTCTGCTAGCACTGTCTTGCCCGTCCCTATCGTCTTGGGGCTTCTCCCTTCGGCCAATCAGTTTGAGAGTCATACTGTGTTATACTTCAGCAAGGCGACTATCCTTGTATTAACCCTGGAATGATGATTAAACCCGAAACCCTGAACCTGACTCGGGACTTACACATAGGGTCCAGCTCTACCTCCCCATCCTCCGGCACGAAAATCACCATCCTTGCTTATGGGAATCCACCGACCCACTGCTTTACACTGAAAAACATTTTTCTGTACCTCTTTGGTAGGACTTCCTACCAAGAATTCCAGTTCAGGGCTCCCAGGCCGGGAAAGTTTCCAAAGGCAACTCCCCTGCATGCGACCGGAACAGAACGCCTGTGCCAGAATGAAACCATGCCTTTAATGGGAATTAATTTTGCAGTCCATACTGTTGACCCCTGCTCTGGGACACAGGAATCTACAAGCCATCATACAGCCAATCAGCTGGACAATTGTTTTGTCTTTGTGACACCCTTAATGGCAACCAGCATGGCCACAGCAACAACGGTACAAATGAAACTCAGCAATCCGCAACAAGAAGGACCGCCGAAAACCATGAGCATGTTGGTAGGCCTTCTCATGACTCTTCCCGCTTCGCCCAACCTACACCCCAACGCCCGGGCCGTTATGAGACAGCGTTTCTTTCATCAGGTGCCCCCATCATATTGCTGACTCAGCCGCCAAAGCGTTCCAAGACCACGTCTTGCCTCTGGTTCACCAGGCTGCCTGAGCTGTGATGTTTCGGTCGCGAAGCCTGCAGTATCCTCACAGTAAATTCCTGTAGCAAATGTTCTATCTCCAGCAAAGTTTCAAAAGGTCTCAATGGCGGCAAAAGTGAGTCCTGGGAGGCATCACGCTTGGCAGGTGCCGAAAACCAATTGCCAGCCAACATGTGCACATGTCTCATTCTGCGGGACCAACTGACATGGACGCTCTGCTTTTGGAAGCCCTCATCTAAGCTAGGCACAACAGAAAATGCCTGTCAAGCATGTTGTGGTGTCATTCCATTAGACGAGATGGTTTCTAGCTGCTTTTGCCATGATAGCTTCACTAAACGTACGAAACACACGCTTGAACAGGTTCGCGACGTGACACGCCTCCGCCTTCGTCGGAACCACATGAAAAGTCTGCACTTTGAAGCCTTACCTGTCTGGGCTTGCAGGCATGGCCGGATGAGTGTACACCTACTATATTATGGTAGCTTCCATTTTCTTTTCCATTATCCATATAAACCCCCAATATACTATAGCAGTTTCCTTTTCATTTTCCACTATCCCAATATTAGGCCTACACTGTCCTCTCAGGCATTTGCGACCCCGTGCCTGGTCAAGGATTCTGCAATCCAAAATCTTGCCCTAGTATAGAAACTCTGAATCCCCAGGCCTTTACCCCTAGACCCCTTCCACACTTGTCCCAGCTTCCATCTGGGTGCGCAGTGAGTGCCAGGAAAACTTGCTCGCGGTCCACACTGACAACCTGTGTTCGAAGGTGCGTAGCCGTGAGATTGTAGAGGTTGTAGCGCGTTTCTGGTTTGTTCCGGGGTGGGGTCATGTGGGCTGGTCGTTCAAACAATAATGTCTCACATATCACATGGTTTGATGACTCTCAATAATCATGGCCGATTGTGATCCTCTCAGGCATTGTTTGGTACAGGGATGGGGGATGCTTTCAGGAGCACTGAATACCACGTGTACTCAAACCTACCTTACAGCTCACAAAGATGAAGCCTTTCTGGTTGAATGTGCTTAGCCTTAGGATTTGGGGATAGAAGGTTGACTAGCCCCACTGACAACTAATCCCAATGTGGCCTTCTCCAAGACCTTGATCCAGGTCTCCTGCACGTCAGGTTCCCCGCTCCCAGGCAGAGAAAATACACTGGCAACGGGACTAGGGATTTGGTTCGCTTCAAACTGCCTGCCAGGACGAAGCATTCACAAGCGCATCCAGCGAGCACTCATCTGCCACCACATTCCCTTCTACATGCGTAACAGCAGACCAAAAACCGGCTGCGCACTCACGCCGTCTAGACAACTGTCTGCAACGCTCAACTTTGCCAAGACATGCTTATGAACGTTAACTCTCAAATCCCTCACATGCCTATATAGCTCTCAAATCGCTGTGGATTTTTTGGGGCTGTGTTGAAAGCTCTAACTTGCATCAAGGATTTGTATGGTGAGCGTGGCAAGGGATATAACATATAGCAAGATTACCATCCCGGCCGGCCTTTCCAGAAGTCTTCAGCACCTTGGCTTCGGTCTTGGGGCAAGAACAATCTTAGCGGACGTTTCTGACATTTCATTGGTTCGTGGTTATCTGTGTACTCTGGATTTTCTCAGTTTGGGGAGCATGCCGCGGGTACATGGGGATTCCCAGTTTTGAGAACCAGTTAGGGTTCTTGCTAAAGTTAAAGTCGCACACGCCTTGCATCTAGGTGCGGAGCACTTGGGGCCCAAAGCCCTGAAAGTTCCTAAGCCTAAGCCGCAAAGGCCGTACGAAGGGAAGCATATTGCAAGCTTCTGCGCAAGGTTGCCTTGTGTCGCTACTGACAGAACACTACCAACTACTACTGCCACTATGCACGTAGTGCCACGGCTGCTAAGTTCTCCGCTGCAACTACTGCCGCTGCTGCTGTTGCTAGTGCCAATGCTAGTACAAGTCTGGTAGTCCTCGTCCTCGTCATTGTGGTCGTCGTCGCCGCCGGCATCGTCGTCGTCGTCGTCGTCGTCGTCGTCGTCGTCGTCGCGTCGTCGTCGTCGTCGTCGTCGTCGTCGTCGTAGTAGTAGTAGTAGTAGTAGTAGTAGCAGTAGCAGCAGCAGCAGCAGCATTAGTAGCAGTAGTAGTAGCAGTAGCAGCAGCAGCACATGTCCCCCTTGAGACTCTTGCGGGTTGTATGGCCGATGAGTCTCGTCGTTCTCGTTTGTTGATTGCGAGGTTCCTGCCTCATACTTGCATGGCTTCCTGAAGCCCTAAATGTTAAAGCAACAAGTATGCGAGAGACTTCAGACAAGGCGCAAACTTTTTAAACACTGCATGGATGAGGCCATGCATTGAAAGGCTTCTTGACGTGCAGAAGCCACGCTATGCAGTGCCCTTTGTGGATCAAGGATAAGGCCAATATTTTGCATGTTTACAACTGGGCTAAGCATTCTAAGGCTGTCAGAGCCGAATTGATGTGCTGGTGCTCGTGGCTTCTCATTGTAGCAAGTTTAAGAAACAAGCGGGTACACGCTTAGTGGTACCACGGCATAAAGAACTCTCCGATAAATAGGAGAATGATGACGCCACCTGTGTTCTGGATAGCCTATGTTTGTATTCCCCTGCAGGAAAACGGACTGAAAGAAAAGAAAGAAAGTAATCCCTACAATTACCAGTTTTTCTACTATCGCCGTATGCTTTTCTTCGTTCATCTGGCGTCTGTACTGGGCCCGCTCCTGCTTGAGCCGGCTGGAAATGGCTTCGCAAGGGCGACTGGAACACTCGTGGCTTGTGATGGTTCAGGAGGTATGGCTGCTGCAGTTTCCAGCTTTGAGGCCGGCCAAATGGCAGCGCCGAGTGCGGGGTGCTCAGTCTTACCTACTTGTTCTAAGCAAGTAATAATGAGGGAATATAATCCCCATGGAATATGTAATATGTTCCCGCATTTCCTACTAAGAACCAGTAAGCTCATGCTTTGAAGGATGGCAGCGTCTCAGGTCCAAACCTTCCGCACATGCAGTGGTTGGCCAGCACGTTGACTTAAGAATGCCCTGTTCCTCCATAGTCCCAAGACGTCGTAAATGACGAACGACACTGCGAGTCAGTTCAACACCCAAAGTGACAGCTGCAGTGACACTGCTCGCAAAGATGTCTTGACAAACATCATCTAGCCTCTCCGATCGCAGGCCAAATTTCACCCCCCCAGCACTTCACTTGCTGCTTCTAGGTGGCTATCCCATCACAACGCCCCTTCCTTCACAGCAGCTCCGAACTCTTCATCCCCCCTGCAAATAAATAGGCCACGAGCCCCATAGACTATATCCTCAGCTTTCAGCAGCAACAGATTCCCGGCCGTCGGGAATCAGTGTGCGCCGAAGGCCATCCTGTTGCCTGCGTGGCATCCAAGCGCCTTTACCTTCCTTCTTCGGGGTGCTCTTCTGCACAATTATTGTTTGGGATGATGCCGCCAGGATTCTATAGGGGCCGGGGGCTCCAGAATTAGAGGTTGGTCTGGAGGATTAGGGTCGAGAGATAAGGGGCAGGGTTTGGGAGCAGCTTGAGGATTCCTCAGGCAGCAGGATTCTGCTAGGACTGCGGCTTAGGGCATGCATTAGTGATATTGTGCAGGACAGCAACTATCCTGCTAAAGCTGGCTCCGGTTGAGGTTGCACAAAAATTAGATTGGTAAACCAGTCCATCAAAAAAGGAGACTGCGAAGGGCTAGAACGACAGGGTCTCCATCTGAAGCCGCCAGGAGTAACTTTCATTTCAAGAAAGCACTCGTTTGCCACGATTTGTGCTCAACATTGTAAGGCATGTGGCCAAAGGGGAACCCTATGCGAAAGGAAGCCGATCAGAATCCTCAAGATAAAGACATGCCTATGGCAAGCTTGCAGCAGCTGTCGAATCAATGTTGCGACCACGACTCTCGCATACTTCACCTTGAGCTGGGCTGCATGAGTAAAAGCCCACCTTAACCTTGCCGACTGCTACCTGCGAGGCTGCGCCCTTTGCGATAAGAGATTCCAGCCCTGAGTCGTGTCTGGCATTGCCAGCACCGAAAGTTGCGTGGTGAGGGGGCGATACTCCATGGAACGTGCGCTGTGGCACGTAGGGTCCTGACATAGGAGCGGGCTTGACTTATGCACTTGATAGCCTCCCCTGGGACAATTTGCCCTGCATCAGGCCCTGGATGCAGCGTTTGCTCCCTGAAAGTACTCCAAGGGAGTACCTGTCTCACCACAGGAGAAGAATAATGTACAAAAAGGAAATCCGCCGCGACCTGCCCACATGAAAATTATGCTCCAACATCGTAACTTGAGACGGGTTCCCAAGTCTAGCTGTCAGGATTACTATAGTACCCGTGCTCATGTAATTGCTGCCACCGCAGTTCTCAGCGCAAGGCATTTACCATGATTTCCAGCTTTCACTGTAGGGCTTAGGGCATTTAGAGCACCCTGAACCCTAAACCCCTCAGCTCCTAAGCCCAAAACCCCAGGCGCTAGTCTCTGCATTCCTCAGCTCTACAAGCCAATACATCCCTCAACCGCTTGGATGGGATGATACGACCAAGCAACCCATCATGGCGAGACACGCTATGCTACTAATACTACGAATAGTAATATAATATGATAAGAATGACAGTAATAGTATACGTAAGTATAATAGTAACATAATAACAAATCATAAGCAGGAATCAGTTTCTTAATAGATTGACAAATTTAAATGTCGAGATGCTTGCATCTGCTCAGTATCTTCAGGCCTGGGGTCATCTTTCGCAAGGGAAAAGGGGGAAAAGGGAAGCTGCAAGCAAGAGAAAACTCTTGCTGCCGCCACCGTTTCAGGATTTCCCATCTTAGCACATTGAAGGACTTTGAAGGGCGAACTGGAGACAGTCAAGCTCGAGATGCTCTGAACCCTGCATATAACCCCATAGGACCCCCCCCTAATGGGAACTAAACGAAAACCTCATGTATATCCTAAAGGCCAACGCAGACTTGGCCCTCCAGTTGACGAACCTAGAGCCAGCAGAAACCCTGTGACTCTGAAACCCTCGAACGATTTAGGGTTTCAGGGCTGAGGATGGCGACCATGGCCTGAGACCCACCAGGGTCAGACTTGGCTGCTACAAGCACATTACTGCACCACTCCTCTGTAGCATACTTCTTCACAAAGAAAAACCCAAACATCCTTGCAAAGTCCATGCCAGAAAAAGGCCAGGAGCTTTGCAGTCATGGGGGCAGGATTTCGCGCACGTGTGCGGGACTCATGAGCATGCTGGTTCGGGCACATTCGAAAAAAGTGACAGGGTTGCCCTGGATGCAGGATCTCAAGGCTGTCAAACACCTTTGTCCCCATGATTCGTATCTAAGATTTTGCTAATGAATGTTCAACCATTCTCTGGTGCCAGGAGAAGACTTGCACAAAACATGATAGCCTTGCTAGCAAGTAGGATTGACATGACTAGAATCGGAATGCCGGTGCTCCATGTCTATTGGGAGTGCGCCAAAGCTCTGGGCCCAGGTGCAGCTTGTACCTTTAATTAACCTGCGCTCATATTCCGCGTAAGTATGATGGAGCCCCCAACTGGGGCTCCTGAGTGTGCAGAATGCTCAGAGTCCCGAAAAGCCCTTTGCCTTGACAGCAGCTGGGGCACGAAGCTTACTGATGCTGAGGAGGCGAGAGAACGTTGCTCGACAGCAAATTTAAACAGCTCTCTTCTGATGGCTCTACCGCAATACACTACATCTTCCATGGGCATTCAAGCTATACGCATAGATACATATGCACATAAATAAATAAATAAATAAATATATATATACATAATGTATGGTACACATATATATATATATATACCCATATTTATGGAGAGAGCTGAGCCTGCAGCGAGGCAAGTGCAAGGATCCCTCATATCCTGCTGAGCATCAATAAGAAGGGCAATTTCGCAACTGCCCGGTGAAGGCCATGTATGTACAAGCGAAGCGGCGCTCCAGCGTATCAGCATATTCGCTATTGCCTCCACAAGTTTCTGTGGTAATCGTACCCTCAGTCTCGCATGATGAGCAAAAATGCCCTCTAATATTGCCCGAGCTGTACAATTGACCCTGTGGTTGACTGTACGCGGGCTTGGACAACCAATCATGAAGGCATTCTTCCGAGGGGTGCTGAGCCATAGCTTTGTTGAGGCATCTGAGTTTGCAATGTAAAAACTTGTTCAGGCTTAGAGGCCAGAGGGCCAGAGCATTGTGGCATTTCATGCAAAGTAGCCTATCCGACATGAAGAGATAGTACAAGGGCCATGCATTCCTTGCCAACACAGAACACCAAAGTTCCTACAGTACATCCCAACTCTTTGTAACACACAATCTGTTGATGGTCCAGCAGCAGGAGGGGCCACCTCCCTAAACCCTAAACCCCCGTTGAATTTTCCAAAACGCCTACGGGTCGCGGTGGGTATCTCTCAGCAACCCTGAGCTCCCAATTCTGGTTCCCTGATTACCACAACCCACACCAATTACAAAACCCAAACGCCTGAACCCTAATGGTATCCCCACTTATATTGAACAACTGCATAGAGGATCCATTCGCCGGATTTCCGCAGCTACCGCTTCACCAGCACGCAGCTATAGCTTCAAAGAGGCCGAAAATCCTGTGATCCATCCCAGCCTAGGGTTTAGTTGCTCAGGCCTTTGGGGTCAAGAAGCCGTTCGCGTCAGAGTCTTGCCGTTTGCAGCTACAAGCACAACATGTAAATGCGTAGCTTGGCCCTCTGCGCAGGCACCTGCTCAATCTCCACGCCGTCGATTAAAGCAGCGGTTGTCAAAGCATTTCAAAGCGGTGCTTTGTGGGGTATCCAAACTACTGGACCCGGAGGTAGGAAGATTTTGACACATTTAGATGGCCGCCGGCAGTTTGGGTCACAGCTTTGCAGCCTCCTGTTTGTTGTCATCACATCGGCCTGCATTAGCCACGAGCTGCTGCAAGGAGTCGACTCGACATGATTTTTGCACGGTGGCTTCCAACACCGAGCAGCCCTCAACGGCCAAGGTTTACCTTGTTGAAAGCGGCATACCTACTCCGAAAAGGTGCAACATGTGTCCTACAGCTTTGCTTTGTGCAGCAGTGGGATGTGGGGACTATGTCGGACAGAGCACTGTGTTGCTGCGACGGGGATAGCGAAAGGGCAAGCGCTGATTGGCCAATGAGGGGCATCCAAACCGAATCTGCTACAGACTTGATACCACAACATACATGCTACAATGCAGTTCTATCATATCTGCTCCTCCTAGGCCCATCACCACCACCACCGCTGCCGCCACCACCGCCAGCACCAGCACCAGGACCAGCACTGCTGCTACTACCACTGCTTACACCTGCCTCTGCTACTGCTGCTGCTGTTGTTGCTAGGGGTACAAGTCCTGCTGCTACGGGCGCCGCCGCTGCTACACCCCCTCCCCTTTGACTGCATTCAGTTTCTATCTCTAACATCACCACACTACGACGGATGCGCCGCCTGCAGCACCAGCAACCGCTGCCACCACCAAGAGGACATCCAAGCAATATGGAGGAAGGGATACACGTGCTTGCAACATAGCAGCCTTTAGAAGAGAGCTTGTACAGCACTCTGATCTTCTCAATAACTGCTTGGAGCAAAAACGCTGCTTAAAAGAAGCACCCCTGAAGAGTCGAATCCTGACAGCAGGCAATGTTCCCCTCCTGGGAATTTCCGGAAGCTGGATCTCGGAAGTCGCCCTGATGCATAGCATATCACCTAATGTGACGAAGAATTGGTGACCTCTGCTGGAACTTGGAAGGGTCACTGCAGTACCCCCCATCTTGACACAAGCTATGATCTTCATGGAAACCGCCGAGGGGAAGAATCATCATACGCGGGACCTGTTTCGTGCTTCCATCCAGACTCCTTGCTCAAGTCTCGGAAACTCCCATTTCTGCAGTTGCCAGGCATGCGCTTGTATGCAGTACTCGAAGCAAGATTGCGCCTTGTATTGTATATTTCGTTCAGCAAGACAGTGAAGTACTAGTAGGACCTGCAGAGCACTAGCTTAAATGCAAGTTTTTAGAATCCACAGTATGCGAGGCCAGGGTTCAAGAAGTAGCTCGTTGTGACTACCTTTTGTTGCCTTGCCTTGAAATTGCGGAAGGTGTGCGCTGGTGGTTTCTTCATTGCATGAGTTCTCCATGAATGGCCTGTCTTCTGTTTGATTGCTTGAGGATGTTTGCGTTTGGGCTGCAAGGGGAGCGGTGTCATGATTGCGAACCAACCAATAGGGAGAAGCACTCCTTTTCACGTAGTGAGGCGCGTGGAGTTCCCTCCGCATAATGCTACCACCAGGAACACTGAAGCCCTCCTGTCAAAAAACAGCGATGCA